GCTGTTATACTCAATGGGCCTACAATCGACAATCAGTGCATAATTGACTACTTCAATAGATATAAGCGGGCGGCTTATATCTGTGAGATCTCCAACGGTAAGACAAAACCACTCCTAATTCATATCGGGTGGGAGAATAACAACGTTATCAAGAAAACTTTTAGGAATCCACGTGATCATCACAGATGATATGAAGCCTCTAACAATGCAAGTTTTTACGTCTAATTGCATCAGTAGAATATAGTTGACACAAGGTAAAAGAATTGATTGTCACCATATACATGCCTGACCATTGAGTAGTCAAGAAATGAGGGGTGAATCAGCTACAATTTGTTTACCAATCATAATCATCACAAAACGGGTACCACCAGTTGGAATAAATTAATAATGATGATAATAGACTAAACAAACAATTATAAACTTCCAAGTATTGTTCATCTTAATCTTTGATGTTTTGATTGAACAAATGATGGTTAAATGCCTGCTTAAATACCCACTCCAATATGTCTGCGCAATTATTACGCCTGATGATTCATCTTTGAATTTCAGGAAGACGGCGTGTTTCGATCTAAGGTTGTAAAGCGAGTTATCTCTGGAGAGTAATTTACGGATAGCGTTTCCAAAGATACATGAACGCTCGTCATCTCATCATCTAACTAAACAAACATCTAAGATTTCAATACTCCTTAAACGTTTGTTTAGATACATGATTTTTTTCCTATTTTTTTTAAAATTCATTTTAATGCCTCTGATTGCCTACAGGATCTAGTTTCACAGTTTCAATGCGATGCTAAATGTGTAAAGAAAAAACTGATCAGAGGGTAAAAATGGTGGACATTTTGATCAACGTAGCATTAAGTTTAATTGGTTGAGAGCGCGGCCTTCTTAGTTCTCATATATCACCAAAAGTAATAGTTGCATTATCTTGTTTAAAAACTCCTCGATACTGTGTTGGAACTGAAATGGTGTTGTGTTTACCAAAATAATCATTCTTCTTGGTGCGGACGCAAAGCGAAGGTTGACGATATTTCATTCTGTCAATTGCAAAAGAATTACTGCTCAGAAGAAACCAATTCTTTCTTTTATTAATAATTACTTCCTTTGCATATTTTGTAATTTATTTTTATGGCGTTTTCAGTTACCGGACAAAACTCTTCGCAGAGCTACTCTCAAGAGTACGTTGAAGTACCTTGCACGCTGGAATATGGCAATAAGAGTTGGGTGCAAAATTGCAACTTTACCAGTTTAACCTGCAAAATGAACTGTACCGTAACCAGTTGTGAGCACGTGCCAAATAACATCTTCTTAGAGGTTTGCGGGCGAAATTGTAGTCACACGAACACATTATTGGTAGATCAATGTTCTGAGCAAATACACGAGGGAGGTTATCATACTTGCAACGTCACAGAATATAATCTGGCAATCGGCGAGGAGGAATATGAATTTGAGGAGGCTTACTATTGTGAAGGTGGTCAATGTGATTTAAAATGCAATGGAATAAGGTGCACTCAAATTTGCAAAGAAGGGGAAGGCGGTGAGTATAAAAGAAAAGCAGAAATGATAGGCAGGTTGTAACATAATGCGTCTATCAATTTGAAGCTTCAATATCCTCCGCTCCAAACCCAACCCCCCTTCTTACGGGGTAACCCCTTAGGAATTTGAACTTTTAAAAACTGATTTATTCAAATACCTATCGCCTTCCTCATAGTGGGCAAAAACTGTGTTCAAATTCCCTACCAAGTGCCGGATTCGATAGTTATTTATTTATTTATTTGTAAGAGGCAAAATCAACGTCAGAGCATTTCTACTCACTGACCAAGCTTTGAAAAGTAGAGTTTGAAGACCTTTTCATCTGAGCCAAAGTGAAATCTATACCTTTAAAAACCTTTACATTTAAACATATAACACTTGTATTCTGTGGGGAAGACTTAATCATTCCGCCTAAAATTTCCTACCCCACTCAAACAATTTCTTTTCAAATTCCCCACCCCATGGGTACGAACGACGGCAAATGCCTGTGGGGTAGAGGAAGAGAGGAATGGGAGTGTTGAATTCTCAACTAACTCCAGCTAATTGTTTATAAAACTGGCTACGCTTTGTAGGTTTCTATCTGGCATGAAACTTTTTGTCGGCAAAATGTTCAAATTCTTTACTTTTAAATTTAAATAACCAGATTACATTTGCTTCTTACACGGCTTAGGTTTGACCGATTTTTTTTAAGGCAGCGCTTCTGCAAGCCTAAGCAAGCTAGCAAATTGGCTGAGTGCTGCAATGCGCTGGTGCATTTTCCCTTTCGCTCTCAAGATCTCGTAAATAATTATCCTTACTGTCTGCCATACATGACGGTGACTTGAAGAATTTGATATTGGATCAATCAACTAATACTACCTGACCGATATTTTTCTTTATTCCCATCTCTTGCTTGCTTGATATTGCAATGATATTGTAAGGATAAATTATTTCTTGGTCATTCATGGGAGAAAGACCCTCTTGTTTTGTGCCTGCAATACCGAGATGATGGAGACTTATGAATTGATAAATATTTCATCGACTGAACAACAGAAGCGACGAATCGATTAAATCATTTGTCGTCGATATCCCAGTTACCCTATCCAGATCTTACGAAAGATGCGTGAAACTAGAACAAATTCAGAAATAAAAACAACAACAAAATAACCAAACACACCAATTCATATCAATACAAATCAAGCGAATACAAGAAGTGCCACAAAAAAAGAGATATTGGTAAAGAAAAGTGTATCATTCAATCTTGAGTAATGCTATAATAATCATTATCAATTAATCTTTCTTTTGCTCTTTTGGGTTCTGGAGAATTGTTGATGTCAACGGGTACATCATCATCTTCGCTGTCACCTACAGCAGTCTCTGCATCAACGGAATCAGCACGGACCCAACCGGTACCGTCGCCGCAGCCTTCGTTGTCTTCTTCACCTTCGAGAAAAATTCACAAACTGGTTTGTACTCTATCAGCTCTAATCCTTGTCCTTGTGATTGTCATTGTTAGCATCCTTGTGGTTAATACTTGCAACTGCCATTTTCTTTGTATTAGGCAAATGAATATGTCTCTAAATTTGACAGAATGGAGATCACCAGAAACAATTCCTTAAAGGTATTTCAATTCTACACATATTGCTATGCAACAGAAACCAAATTTGTGCAGATGTATAATTAGAATAGGCCATGATAAAAAAGATTAACTTCAACCACGTTTTCAGAGAGGTAGCACAGGCTTACGTTTTAAAGGAATTATGAATTCAATGGATTCAAATCTCTTAGGCTTAGTTGATTAAGTACCCGACCAAGATCAGCCGGAAGGTCTGCGGCTTGAATGCTCGTGGGAGACTCAGATCGTTTCTTTTAGTCATACTGAAAATCAATGTCAAGTGCTTAGCACCTTACCTCAACAACATCAAAATACATTTTATGTTATTGCAGGAGGCTATAGGGGTTTTTGATGACTTCGTCATCTGTATGAGAAACATCATGAAACCTCTTAACGGCACGTTTAGCACAGAACAGATTGAGACAAGCAGAGCATCCACCTTTGACGTGGCAGATGTGTTCGTGGAATTTATTCTTAATTATGGCAAACTCCACCTGGTTGGAACGAGGTCTTCAGAAGAGATCTACAGCCACAAATTGGGTGAGTCAGAACGCGACCATCAATTGTCCTGATCAGCGCTGATCCATTACTTGTTTATCCACTAACTGGGTAATGAAATGATAAAATGGTCTTCCTGCCTTGATGATGTAATAACCTATAACACGTGTTCATTTTCTAAGCGTTATTGCTGGATCAAATCGATCCATCTTCTCCTTCAATTAACTATTTACGTTTATGAATCATTTTGGAGGTGGAAATAATTGCCAGCGATTTTCATCCTTAAAAATATCAAAATGTCTTGTTCTCGATGGCTCTGTGTTCCTTAGAGGATTAACCCTTTAACTCCCAAGACCTCATTAGTAATTCTCCTTACTGTCTGTCATATAGTTCTTGTGATGTTAGTTTGGAGAATTTGATGTTGGATCAAGTTATTTAATCCCCTAGTTAATTTTTGTAAATTCTCATGACTTGTCTGCTTGATACTGTATTGGTGTTGTAAAAGGAGAAATTCTGTCTTGGTCACTCATTGGAGTAAAAGGGTTAATTGTACTTGCTACGTGGTAATTCTATGATCACAACATAGTAGGATAATGACATCATATTTGCTGTCCAGTCCGAAACACATTTCATCCAACATACTTTGTTGTTAAGTTTTCATTTGCTGTTTTCTCCGTCAGTGCTGCGTATTCAAAAAGCCTACCACCAAAATGCAAGTGACTTTCATCTTGAGAAACCAGAATGGCAAGCAAGCACGAATATTTCATCAGCAAATTTTGCGAAAAACGGTTTGTATTAACTACCTGGTCAACTCTCTAACGTATTGACACAATGCTCTTTTGGTTTCTTTTCAAATTGCAATGGTATTGAAAACCATCTCCGTATACAGAGGAGTTTGTTTGTTGATGCACACAGTCTGTTTGACTCGTAGTTTTTTGGAATTCAAATTATCATGTTTTTTTAGCTTGATAAATTTTTCTCCTCATCACTATTTAGTATCGGTGGTTGTTGGGATTGTGTACAAAGATCTCCATGATCTCTTAGTTCCAGATCAACCCATCAGGATAAGATCAGGCAATAGAAGGTAAAATTAATTCCCTCGATGTTTAACCGAATGCACCAACAGAAACAAAAAAATACAAAACAAAACAAAACGCATTGCGTTCAACCAAGAAGGTCTTATAACGTTTTCAAAACCCTGTTTGTTGCTTCTCCAGTGATTCAATGCATATTTTAGCGTTTACGACATTAGTATGGAAGTAGCACTTGTTTTTAGTGGCGCTAAGGATGCCATATCCTTAGCAATTACCAAGCTCAACATTGATATGCATCATGTTTAAACTGTGTTTTTTTTTTCAGGCATTTGGGTTCCAGGATAATGGCCGTAGCAATGGCTCCAAACCCAGACAAGCTGCAAGAAAATGTCGTCTTAAAGTTCAGAAACCTGGATGTAAAAGCAAGATCAAAATTAGTATGTGGCAACCGGTCGTTTCGATGTAAAGTCGTCTCGATACATTGATAAACTCGATTCGGTATAAGTAGAAAGTCATTTCGATACATATCGTTTGGATACAAAGTAGTGAAGGATAAATTTGGTTGTTTTAAACCGTCATCCAGTCCGATAACGAGAGGTTAAGAAAGCTTCCTAAGATAAGAGATTGCATCTCCGTAAGTACGTGTGGTACGCGAGCTGCTTATGTGTAATTAGGCAATCGCGTTCCAAGTATTTGGATGAACTTGTGAAAGATGAGCTTTTTAGTACTTTATGTTCGTTAGGGTTTATTATCCAGACGTATATTTGCTCCCTCTAACGATCGTAAACGGTTTTTACGTTATGTTAATTTATTCCTAAGAGATCATATTTTTTAGGTCGATAAAGGGGAGAAGAAATGCATGTTTTGGAGTGGCCTCAGCGAGAGGTAAGAAGCTGGAATATATTACTAGCCTTGTTTCGGAAGAAATAGTTTCGTGGATTTTAAATTTGTTAAGTATCATGCTTGAAAGGCCTTTTTCCTGGGCATAGGCAATTGCTACCATCATAGAAAAGTTGTCAGTGAGAAAAAGCACATTCCGACTAATCAGATCTCGCGAACAGGAAAAAACATTAAAATGAAAAAAAAAAACTCGCTTGTCTAACCTTTCGGTTCCTCGATGGTTTTTGAGGTCATTTCTTTTTCTTGTTCACCACTTTTTATCCTTTTTTTTTTAGTTCAGAAGAGTTCTCAGGGAGAGGATGCTATGTGGTTACATCGAAAAGCAACTCAATAGAAACAGTTTGCAGCTGCAGTCATTTCTCTCATTTTGCTGTCTTAGTTACCTACGATAGTAGTCCAGGGGTAATGATTTTATCTTCTCAGTTTCATCATAAGTACAATTCCGTTGATTTGATAACAATTTTCTTATTTCTCTTTATGTCCTTTGTGACACAGCTTACGGCCGAGGACGAGACTATTCTGCAAATTATCACCAAAGTGGGATTAGGCTTTTCCATCACCGGAATACTTTTGACAATTATTGTGTATTCCTTCATCACGTAAGTACCACAACCATGCATACGTCTAAAGAACTTATTCTTTATTTGATTTTAAATAAAGATTTCGGACTTAAATTACATCAATACGCGATAAAAAAAAATGAATTAATGGAATTAATTATAAATAATTACGGCAGAAACGAATAAAGATGAATCAAATCTCCATCTCTTGGCGACAGTGATTCAAATTCATTAGCAGGAAATGTACCACATGAAATTAGACGCATGTGTTGTCGTATAATGCTTCTTTTCTGTTGTTTGTCTTTTTGTTTGTTTGCTTGTTTCACCAGAGATGTTCGAAAGCCTCTTTCTCAAATAAGATTGAGTCTTTCTGTGTCACTCGGAGCTGGTCAAATAATCTTTCTCGTCGGTATAAAGGCCACAGAGAACACAGTAAGTGACGTCTTCATTCATTTACGGTATATTTGCTCTTTAGCGGCTTAAGTTATTCTTAAGAAAGGAGGATTAGAACAGACAAAAACCCGGCTCTCTTTTTTATCTCTTAGGCTTCCTGTGTTACAGCAGCAGCTCTCTCGCAATATTTCCTGATGGCAACTTTCTGTTGGATGATGGTCGAGGGAGTTTATCTTTATCTGTTTGTTGTGAAAGTTTATAACATTGGCGAAAAGATGCACACGTATCACGTCATCTCATGGGGTACTTTCATTTCACTTATGAGTTTTTTGTACCTGCCTCTTTTGAATCACCTCTGTGATTCTGCGTGTGATTCTGTATTGACCCCCTCCTATTTCTGTTTAGGTTTTCCGATCGTCATGGTGGGCATTTCATTGAGCGTTGCGGCTGGAAAAGATGGAATTCAAAGTTATATCAGTGACAAATGGTAAGATAATTATTGAGTACTTGTCTCTTCATCTTTTGTGCCTTCCCACTCTCTCTCTTTTCGCTACAAAATATTTGTTGTTTTTCATTCTGTTTCTCTTCTAGATGTTTCGTTACCGATGAAGGGTGTGGGTTAGGGGTTTTATCGCCGCAAATCTGTGTTTATTCTGTGTTCTCTTTTTACCTTTCAAGTTGTTGGCTGTCCTCGACTGACAACTTGATCTGGATATTCGTCGCATTTGTGGCGCTCATTGAAGTTGTGAGTTTATAATTGATTGAAGCCACGTTATTACTTTTATTTACCGGGATTGACTACTACTGGATACTTCTTTTTTCCCCTGCTCCTTAAAAAAAACTTGAACACCTTTCTCTTATTGACGATCTGACTCAAAGTTTGCAATCTTCCCTATTATAATTACCAGCATAATTTATTCGGCATTTCTTATCGTAGCAGTTTGCAGGAATGCGTACCATTGGGTCCTTCTTATATGAAGATTTGGGGTTTAATTCACAGAGAGGGATTCAGACTTTTTCTTTCTCTAACGCTCGTAACAAGACGGCTAAATTTTTTTCTTTTTTTCGACGACACATTTCACATTTCTTTCTTTTTTCAAGTTCAACATTTTGATACTCATCCTGGTCGTTAAAGAGATGACCACATTAGCGCAGCCAATGGTGGAAGACAAGCGCTTCCGGCAGATACGGTGGGATTTGAAATCAGCATTTTACAAATTAATACTTATAAATAAAAATAATGGAAAGCAGGGTAAAGCAATGTGAAGGAATCGTTGAGTCAACTTTTTCTGAGGTATGGATTTTCCCAAATCCACCCTAGTTAATCTCAATTAAACAATGAGACATTAAGTGAAGAAAAAACCCTTCTATAAACTAATCCACAAAACTTATATGGCTGTCGTTCTTTAGTCTTGGCATTAAAACATGCGCGGTGATGGTGCCACTGCTGGGTGTCACGTGGTTATTTGGTCTTTTGTTACCCTTACACAAAGCTTTCGCTTACATTTTCACCATCTTAAACTCCACTCAGGTAAGCTTTTAACAGAAATTGTTAAATTTGAATCAAAGGTTTGCATACTTAGGCGCTCAAACTACACCTCAGGTAAAAACAGACACTAACTTTATTCAGATGATATTTCCCATTCAACATTATTCTAATCGATATGATAAGTTATTTCTCGATTCATGAGATCTGTAACGTACTTTGAATCAATATTTTACCCCTACGTTACGGCGGTTTCAAAGATGAACAAATGATAAGAGCATCATACACCTTGAACTCTATGCAAACTTTGTCATCAAAGACTAGCCCTACCCTACGACTTGTTCAAAACATTATTATACCGACAATTATAATGAAAAAAAATTGATCTTGAAAGAATCATCTGTTTTCAGGGTTTCCTGATTTTCGTCCTTCACTGTGTGCGAAACAGCCAGGTGAGATGGATATCAGACTGAGAATGTACATAATGAAAGCGAATTGTGAAGTTTTTAAACACAAGTTAAACATTTGATTGCTTAACAACAGACATTTGGTTACCTGTTCATCTACAGATTAGAGAGCGATTGAAGAGGAGGATGAACACCATTTTTCCACATGCAGACGATGGAAACTTTACAAAGAAGGGCTCACATGTTAATGTAGGTGGTGCCGGAAATGTGTGGACAGTTGAATTGCAGTCTTTTAATAACTGAAGAATAGCACTTAACTTGAGTAATTCAACCGACTTTTAGCTGTAGTCAATCACATAGTGTGATCGTCAAGGCGAAGGTATATCTTCAATTGAGCTTGTTTAGGAACGAAATGTCAGCAAAGTCAGGCCTTCTGCGCCATTAGTTAGTCAGTATAACAATGTTTTAAACAAGTCGTGGTGTAGTGCTAGTATTTGTTGAAAAAAGTTTGCATAAAGGAGGGCAGTGAATGGTACCCTAGCAAATTGTAAGTCTCGCGAAGTATTATCCGATCACGAAATCTCGGCTCAAAGTCTAGCATTTTTTCAATAGGCCATATTCTCTTCTAAAAGATAGTTAGAATTACTTGAAGCCAACACTGTGGGCGACGAAAAACCGCCCAGGGGCCCATGTGTGAATAGTGTTGATGCGACTTCAATGATTAAAATTAATACCCCATCCACACCAGCAAAACATGTTTTAGCTACACCAGGTTTAACTGAACAAAAATACGAATCTGAGAACTGCAAATTTGAATTTTATAAAGGATTTAAGCAGTCAATAACTTGTATTTTCAATGTGCTAAATTTGAAGCCGACGAACATCGTTTTAAGCAGCTTAAACTGTTTTTAACGAAATAGCATTAAAACATGCTCAAGCGTTGGGTGAATGGGGTATAAGATAATAACTAGGAGTTTGTATTTTAGTAGCTTTTAAGTTGTTTAGTTTCAGTCCCGGTTTTTTTTTTTTTTGACAAAACTCACGTAGTTTGAGCGAGTCACGAAATTCATTAGTTGCTGCTATATAACTTAATGTGTTTGGAAAAGTTATTCGCTGAAATTTGTTGATCGTGATGATAATGCCTTTACCATTAGATGTAGATTAAAGAGATGAACTTAAAAGTCTGGACAAAATTTAAATTTTGGGTTAGCCTATTCGCCTTTGAATTTGAATTCGCTGAAATTTGTTAATCGATGTTGTCACTTTTACCATTCGATGTAGATTAAAGAGATGAATTTAAAGGTCTGGATAGAATCGAGATATTGAGTCAGCCTATTCGCCTTGAATTTACGCATTACAATGTCCTTTTTCTTTAATGATTCTCATGTGCTATGAAAGAAGTTATAAACTTAGTCAAATAAAATGTGAAACAAAATTGGTATCGATCAAAGTAATAACGAATAAATAACAAGTAGATAAGAAATGTGATGTCGCCCTAGTAGTTTAGTATAAGTGGGCATTTTCTGTCGTATCCTCAAGAAGAAGTTGGCCGGTACAGTTATTATTCAAAACATCCTGATTATATATTTATCTGCCTTTTTATGGTCCTAAAGGGGGAGGGAGGTGGAAGTTTGTGATCCTCATATACCACGATGGAGTTTCCTCCTAAATACACCTTTAAGTTGCAAGGTGGTCAACAGCTAGTAAGCTGATATGATCAGCCTGGTTGGATGGCCGTAAAGAGGAGTTCACAGACATGTAAGTTGTACAATAATGAAGAAGAGAGCTTCTAAATACACCCTGTGGCTATCTCCAGGCTCTACATGGACAGGGCTATAAGTGATTTCGGTGAGTAGCTTGGGTAAGAAAACTGAGATGGTCGAAGCTTGATTCAGAAATCACATTTTTCTATACACTACAACCTAAATGGGCAGAGAATTATCGCTCAAGACAAGTAGTTTTGAATATTTTATATGGAGTAATACATATGATCTCATCATTGTCAGAGTTAACGAGTTACACAGGGGGGTGGGAGGGGGTGAGGTCCAGACCCTCTGAACCCTGCTACATTTGCCACAGCAACGGGAGAGAACCTTACCAATCAATCTACTTCCTTGTCATAGCAATCGCCTCATTGTCCCATTTGTCGATTTTCTGCACTAATTCAGTTATTGTTATGAGTTATAGTGATTATAATCTGAAGCAAAATTATACGCATTACAGTGTAAATAGTAAGATTCGGAGTGTCTCGACTGATCTGTCCTTCTTTTCAAGAAAGAACTTTATCCCTTTCTGCGTCGCTATTAAGGATTGCTTGAAGACGATACGCCATATTTCTGGCGTAACCTCTTCATTGATGTCATCTACAAGGTTTACACCAGATATCCAATAGCGTGGAAGATTTCTTCTCTCCAGATAAATCTGCAGAGCTCTAAGAAATCCAAGGAAATGGTTCCCCAGCGCGTCTCCGCTCGCCCAGTTTTGCAAACCTCCTTGCTAGGACAACGAGGCTGTAAAACCAACCATCCCAAAGGCGTACAGGGTCGATATAAACTTCACGACTTGCATACTTTCCGAACAACGAGTCATCTCTTGCCTTGAGGCAAACATACCCAGATATTCCGGATTCAATAACCCCAATCTCTCTCCTTTTCGTTCTCAAAACTACCATGACATCTACTTCATCGGCGGCTTCAGTCTTCAGCCTCTCGTACACACTGCCGGTATACTCCAGTTTTAGTATAGGAAGAGACGAGTGCTGTTGGCAAAACACTATGACTTGATTTTCGACGTACTCATTCACCAAGCGTCTGGTGCGGGCCATGTCGTCCTCGGAAATTTTGACATACTTTACAGAGAAAGCCCTAAGTTTCCTCGTTAAATTCGAAATATCTCCTCTCCTTGCCTCGGCTACTGTCTAGTAATAACTTTCATGATTCCCCTTCTTATGGTTGTTGTGTGCGAATCAGTCAACATATAGCTAAATCAAAAGGTAATATACCGATTGAGGTCTCGCTTTTTCCTATCCTCTAAAACCAAAGTCAATTTGAACTACACTTTAATATATCTATATCGTCTAATGCAACTCCGTCTGGTAAATAGAATGCAGAAGCGAGCTGTGCGGGCTATCACCAGCTCAGACTATCGAGTACACTCCTTTATTCTCCAAACCAGAAATTTAAGATGTTTTCCAAGTCAATACGTTTGCAATCGCCAATTTCATGTTCATTATAAAAAAGTATCTATTTCCCCCATTGCTTCTCAATCGTTAATGTTACAAATAGCTAAATTCACTGCTTTGGTACCAGAACTGCTACGAATGTATTTGTGTCGTACAAATCTCAAGCAATTAACAATTCTCTAGCAAGGTCCTAAATTTGGAACCCTCTTCCTGTTTCAGCCCCTTTTTAGTCAAATCTTCTCAGCTTTAAGACAAAAATCCAAAAGTTTTTACCTATATAAACACTGAATTGGCCAAGTAGCACATTTGTAGCACTCATCCTTTCTCAAATATATTGTTGTTAGTGAGGCGGCTTCTCCCATAAGCCCGGTGGCTTTTTGAGTCTCGTCGCCTTCCACAAATCATAACTCTGAGGATAATTATTTTTTTCGGATTGCGAAAAAGGCATAAAAACAAGAACAAAAATGGGATGATGAAAATTCCTTATTTAGACTACAGTATCCTTATCAATTATCAAAAGGATATCCTTGTATAGTAAATTCGTTATTCTATTTGACAAACTTACTAGCTTGTAGCAGACTCTTTTGACCTCCATGCAAAATGTTGCGATCTCAACGATTGAAGTCGAGTTGTCTGTCATTTAACAATACGTCGTGTTAAATGAAATCGAGTTTACAAAGCATAAATACTCGTGAAAATCGCCTACTTGATCTAATAACACCCTATAGGAGCTTTCCCTCAAAAAATGGATCTGACATGTGCATTTGAATTATTTCTTTTTAAGACAGTGGTTTTTAAATTCAAGTGAAAGCCGTGTTTTAACACAAACGATTTTATCAAACTAAGTAAGGATTTATCCTTGCTCTTGTTTATTTTCGAGGAGCCCTTGTCACTGTGAAATTCACAAAAACATTTAGAAAAAAAGGGGTTTCGAATCAAGGTGCCAAGGTTCAATCTGACCTCCATAAGACAATGAAATAAAATGAAATAAACAACTCCAGACATGCGACTGAACAAGCCACGAAGTTGGCGCCAACGTTTTCGGTAAAAAGTGCTTGAGATGAAATTCCAAGCATTGAAGAGAAATAGCTAATGACTTATCTTACTTTTCGAAGATTTTGAAGTCGATGAAGTAAACCTTTAGAGAAAACCGCTAGACAGGAAAATGACTCGTGACTTGCTTCCAACCTCAACAGCTCAATGGCTTTGTAACCGCTTAATTTTGCCTTTAAGCACTTCCGGGTTTTCTTGGAAAGTTTAATGATTCGATTAATTCACAGGAATTGCACCTTTTGCCTTTCAACGGATTGAAAAAGAACGATGTTGACAAAGAATGATATTGATCTTAATCATTGATTTGCAAACAATATATAGATGATTAATAAGGTAGCCGGTAAGAACAAAACAGAGTCCCAAAACCTACAACACAAACACAAACTTAAAAAAAAAACACAAAATCCGCAACAGTAACACAAAACTCACAAACACAAACTTAATTAAGTTTGTGTTTTTGTCTTGGATGGTTCATAAGGAAACTTTAATTGACTTCTGAAAGCTAAATTAAAGGTTCATTTCAGAACTTTTGTACATCACTTAAAGACGTCTTAAATGTTTCTAATGTTAGCCTTTAAGTTAGCTATTGAGCTATTTCGTTCTCAGCCGCGAGAATGCCATTACCAAAGCCACTAAATACGAAACTTTCGATTTTTCGTTCCATATTTTGGTTTTCTTCCGTTTTTAGGAAAGTTTCAATGTCACTGGCTGTGAGCGATACAGATTTTTCAGTGTTTTGGCAGCCGTAATCCGGAAAAATTCAGACAAACGAGCTTGTATTGAGAATCGTCAAGGCTTTTTTTGCAGTTCATTCATCAACCCGACCGAGTGGCGCGAAAGGCGAATAGCGATATCAAACACGTGAAAAAAATACGATTTTTTTCACGTGTGTTGTTACGGCTAGAAATCATTTTTATAACACTTTAGTTTATATGATAATCTCTTTTTATGCCGCCATGAGTCCATTATCATTAATTAAGATAACAAAAATTACGATTCATCAATATCAATATCCTAGAATTTAGGAAACGATACGATAGGACAGAAGGGAATTTCTGGGAGTGCTGCCATATGAGATTTTCACCAGATATAAGCATCTTCATGCAAGTCTGGTATCTCTCTTAGATCTTGTAATTGAGTCTCCGAACGTTGTCTTGGGTTAAAAGTTTGAAGAGATTGCTCAAATCCTCTGGGTTAGCTTGTAAAAAAAGGGTATCTCAAGAGCTCAAAGACAACCTTTTGCGTTATAGCCAAGAATATTTCGAAGATTGTTGAGGAAACGAGACTAACGGATTTCACTAACTATAGGATCATGAAGAATAACGAATAAACAGATGATTACGAAAATGATCGAACTCTCGTGACGCGTGACGAATCAATTAACGTGACTCGCTCAGACTTTTCAAATATATAAGCTAGCGAGCAAATGATGCTTACGACTTTGGTGCGTGAGACCGGCAGCGTTTTTCGAAAGAGTCACATTTAAGTCTGAGATATCAGCCATAATAATGGAAGAATCCTTGAAACTGAGATAATAAAAGCATTACTTTCACCTCTCTCCATTCTCCCTTCTCCTCCACTTTTGTCTCACGGCATATGGATTTGTTTCTCTCTCGACGTCAGTTGCGTATGCCCCAATATGAATAGTATATTTTATATATCTGGCTTAGTGTGTAACTTGATACTTAATTTGGAAGAGCATATAATTTCATTCTCCATACATTAAAACGCATAAACCTAGCTTTATTTTTTGAACCAGGTTTCTTGACTTTCCAAAGTCAGCGGGCGGGGAAGACATTCTTGCAACAGTAGGATTCTGTGGTAGAATTACAATATTACGCTTGAACCGATATATATCATACGAACTTAAGTCCGTCAATTTTAACGCGCAGCTTCATCTGTTTGATGGATTAAGGTGATCTTTTTTATTCTTTCAAGAACAGATGGGATACTCAAATTACTCTTTAGCTGGTAAATATTATTTATTTGAAGAAAACCGTCGTTGAACGAGTATTAATCTAAAGGAAACTATATTATGTAAAATATAACCAAAACGTCAACTAAATACAGTTATTTTTATGCGTGCGTTCAGTTTGTTTTAACAGCTCTTCACAGCTTGCCCAAATTATCTTTAGCCTTATTGGTCCGTTTTAGATGGAAAAACAGATGACGATGCACGTTAGTGAGAATCAACTGTGCATTATGATGTCCATTATAGTCTAACTCCAGCAAAAAGGTTTGAAAGATGTTGAAGAATCCGCCATGATGCTACCATGTGAAAAACCAGTATAAGCGCACTTACAACTGCCAACGAAAACTTATGATGTATGGTGCGATGAAAGGGATTCATTCCAGTAAAAATTATAAAACGTTCACAGTCCATTCCATACGTTCTACGCTGAGTAAGTACATGCAAGCTATATTAAACTCTTGATTGTGCTATTGAAATGTAAAGTTGGAAGTATATGTTGAGATATAGATATATTCAGATAACTCGGTATTAGGTTGTCTAACAGCCCTGTTCCGAATTAAACCATAGAGAAGCAAATGTAGATAGAGGCTTTTAATAACAAAAAAAAAAAAAAATTAAGATAGACAAAAGAATGAATAAATTATTAGATAAATAAATAAAATTGAGGAGATTGGTCTAACGCTGTTTTATAAAGGTATTTGAGTTTTTAAAAGAAAAAAATTAATAGAAGAAAATTCAAATAAAACAATTATGCTGTATTTAACATTAAGTGATGCTTGCGGTTTATGATTATTTTGGATATCAAGGATCGCAAGAAGACAACAGCTTAGTGACCAACCTTAAAATACATTAAGGCTCTCTTCTGTGTAAAACAAGCTTCGAAATTTTCTCAGGCATCTCAAGCGACGAATCGTTGCAATTTCAGATGAAGAACATTCATAGAAATCATTTCCACACCGCTTTTGAACCTCGAGGTGTATTAGATCCTAGTGAAAGTTATTAATAGCTCATTTCCGCACCAGATGGAGGCCATTAGGCTCAAAACTCATGAAATGATCAACACGCGCGACCGTGTTACCAACACCCTACCGTCGAAAAAGTTGTCAGTTTACGACATTTTTTTGTCCGTTGGCAGTGCTTGACTATATGAACAAGAAAGTTTGTCTCTTTCTCTGTAAGCGCGGCAAACCCCGTAAAATGACTTGCATAAGAGTTTAAACGTGGATTGTCATTGCTTTCGATGAAGAGTTTCAAAATGTTAAAATAACAATGGGATTATTCTTGATTCTTAGCCAACGTTTGTTCCGTCACGTTGCACGCTTAGAACAGTAGCGCGTGAAAGGAAAGAGTTGAGTCGTCACTTTCCGTGTTTGCTATGTAAGGAGCGATATAATACTAGGTTAGATATTTCTAGGAGTAAAATTTGACTAAAACGTATCGTTTTAAACTCGCGTTTCAATTATAAAGACTTATTCAAACTGATAAGAAGCTGAGATGCGAAGCGTTTTACATTTGCCCTTTGACAGCTACTAGAGGAGGTTAGAAAACATGGTGGCCAGAAGTTTAAATGCAGAAAGAAAATAACTTTAGATAGTGGATTAGTATTATTCTAGGTTGATTTTACTGTGCTTCAAATACTGTTTTGCTATAACTCATTTGTTCATATGTTTATTTTGTAATCTACAGTTACTCTAACTTTACTGATGCAATTGCAAGGAACAGGTGAGAAAGCATGGTTCCATTAAGAACTTATGTATCCGAAAAGGAACTTAAAAAAATTCTGAGTGATGTTTGAGAATAATCTGTCACTGATTGCCTCAGAATCTGAGGGGTTGGAGGACGAACGTATGGCATATTGGTTTATCAAAGGAATCTGGGAATTGGACTTGGGAGCGTGGAAACCCATTGAACGTTTCGAAATGGAAAAATTCTAAGAAACGTCCTAAAGGATTATATGCGGCGATGTGCAAGAATAGTGGCGTTTTTGTATCAATCTCTCCGCGAAATCCAAAAGCCTTTATCTGTGAAATGCGCGGAAGTAACAAGGCATTCCACACGTCAAGTACATTGTAATCCAAAACACTACGCTTAGCATTTTGATCCTGAAGAAACTTATTTTTCAGAACAACTCTCAAAAGTAGTGCTTTTAAATAGTTACACTAGACACCCAGGTAAAGAAACATGTGTCAGATGACACTGAACAAAAATGTACTCTTATCATTATTATTACCATCTTCATCATCATCACCATCATCACCGCGATCGTTGTCATCGTCACCACGTCATTACTAAAATTAGCAGTAGTAATCAGTATTAGTCAAAATATCATCATCATTAACATATACTTAACATATTATTGTTAACGTTAGTATCGCTGTTGATCCTTTTGTTGTAGAAATTATCAACATTGTGATTGTAAGCATTATTTATTTATTTTTTTTGTTAGATAATCAGTTTTTGATGTTTTTTTTATTTTTCAGAATGCCAAAATCCTTCCTTTAATAACTCTTGGTACATATTTTCAGAGAGGGGAAAAACATGGGACGTAAATCAACGCACCTGCCGAAACCAAGGTGGAGACCTGGTTTCCATCGAAACTGGAGGAGAATGGATGTTTATCAATAAAGAGATTCGACAACGCTCTACTGAGTTCTATCATATTGGTTTGGAAAGAAAGGCCCACATGTGGACTTGGTTGAGTGGAAGACCGCTGACTATTTGCCAATGGGAAAAAAACCGGCCAACACTTAAGAGAGATGTGGCTGTTATACTCAAGGTGTCTATAAGCGACAAACAGTGCATAATCAATTTCTTCCCTAGAAATAGAAAGGCGGCCTATATCTGTGAGATCTCCAATGGTAAGACAAAACTATTTCATATCGGGCGGGATAATAGCAACGTTATCGTACAATTTTTAGGAATCCACGTGATCATAAAAGAAGATATGATGCTTCTAACAAGTTTTTGCAAGTTGCATGGGTAGAATAAAGTTGAGACAAGCTTAAAGAACTGATTGTCGCCATATACATGCCTGAGTAGTGAAGAAATGAGAGGTTAATTAGCGACAGTTTGTTTACCAATCATTACATCAACATAACGGGTACCACCGGTTGAAATAAAATTAATAATGATGATGATAGACTAAACCAACAATTATAAACTTCCCATTATTATTCATCTTAATCTTTGATGTTTCGAATATGTCTGCGCCATTATTACGCTTGATGACTCATCTTAGAATTTTAGGAAAACGACGAGTTTCGATCTAGGGTTGTAACGCGAGTTATCTTTGGAAAGTAACTTACGGATAGCGTTTCCAAAGATACACGAACACTCATCATCTCATCATCTAACAAAACAAACATCTGAGACTTCAATACTCCGTAAACTTTCGTTTAGATGCATGATTTTTTTCTTACTTTTTTTTTATTCATTTTAATGCCTCTGATTGCTTATAGGATCTAGTTTTACAGTTTCAATGCAATACGAAATGTGTAGAGAAACAACTGATCAGAGAGCAAAAATGGTGGACACTTTGATCAACGTAGCATTAAGTTTAATTGGTTGAGAGCGCGGGTAGCAATAATTTCCTTAGTTCTCATATATCACCAGATGTAATAGTTGCATTATCTTGTTTAAAAAATCCTCCGTACTGTGTTGGAACTGAAATGGTGGTGTGTTCACCAAAATAATCATTCTTCTTGGTGCGGACGCAAAGCAACGGTTGACGATATTTCATTCTGTTAATTGTAAAAGAATTACTGCTCAGAAGAAACCAATTCTTTCTTTTATTATTATTTTTGTTTTTTTGAATAATACTTCCTTTGCATCTTGGTTATAATTTATTTTTATGGCGTTTTCAGTTACAGGACACAACTCTTCGCAGACCTACTATCAAGAATACGTTGAAGTACCTTGCACACTGGAATATGGCAACAAGAGTTGGGTGCAAAATTGCAACTTTACCAGTTATACCTGCAAAATGAACTGTACCATAACCAGTTGTGAGCACGTGCCAAATAATATCTCCTTCGAGGTTTGCGGGAAAGATTGTAGCCACGCGAAATCATTGGTAGATCAATGTTCTGAGCAAATACATGAGGGAGGTTATCATACTTGCAACGCCACGGAATATAATCTGACAATCGGCGAGGAGGAATATGCAACTGAGCAGGCTTACTCTTGTGAGGGTGGTCAATGTAATTTAAAATGCAATGGAATAAGGTGCATTCAAATTTGCAAAGAAGGAGAAGACGGTGAGTATAAAAGCAAAGCAGAAATGATGTGACATAATGCGTCTATCAATTTGAAGCTTCAGTATCCCCCTCTCCCCCCTCCCCTCCCCTCCTCCCCTTAGGCATTTGAACTTGAAGATTAATTTATTCAAATACCCATCGCCTCTCCCCTGGTGGGCGAAAACCGTGCTCAAATTTCCTACCAAGTGCCGGATTCGATATTTATTTATTTATTTGTAAGAGGCAAAATCAACGTCGGGGCATTTCTACTCAGTGACCAAGCTTTGAGTTAGAGTTTGAAGACCTTTTCACCTGAGCCAAAGTGAAATCTATATCTTGAAAAAACCTTTAAATTTAAACATATAACACTTGTACTCCGTTGGAAAGACTTGTCCATTCCGGCTAAACTTTCCTACCCAACTCAAACATTTTTTTTCAAATTCCCCACCCCGTGGGTACGGACGACGGCAAATGCCTGTGGGGTAGGAAGGAAGGGGTGGGGGTGTTGAATTCTCAGCTGACTCCAGCTAACTATTAATAAAATTGGCTACGCTTTGTAGGTTTTCTATCTGGCATGACACTTTTTGTCGGCAAAATGTTCGAATTCTTTACTTTTACATTTATATAACCAGATTACATTTGCTTCTTACACGGCTTAGTTTTTGACCGATTTTTTTTTTAGGCAGCGCTTCTGCAAGCCTAAGCAAGCTAATGAATTGGCTGAATTGTTGCAATGATCGAGCTGTTGCATTTTCCCTTTCACTCCCAAGATCTCGTAAATAATTCTCCTTACTGTCTGCCATAAATGACGGTATCTTGAAGAATTTGGTATTGGATCAATCAACTAATACTACCTGACCGATATTTTTCTTTATTCTCATCTCTTGCCTGCTTGATATTGCAATGATATTGTAAGGATAAATTATTTCTTGGTCATTCATGGAAGAAAATTGATAAATATTTCATCGACTAAACATCAGAAGAAAGGAATTGATTGTTTTGTGTCTATCCAGATCTTACCGTGAACAACAAAATCGTTATCAATTAATCTTTCCGTTGCTTTTTTGTTGTTTCTGATGAGGAAAAATTTATTGATGTCAAATGCCATAATAATCATCATCTTCGCCGTTTTTTTTTGTAGCTGGAGTCTTATTGCATCAACGGAATCAGCATGGACTCAACCGTCGCCGCAGCCTTCGTTGTCTTCTTCACCTTCACCTGTACTCTATCAACTGTAATCCTTGTCCTTGTGATTGTCATTTTTCGGATCTTCGTGGTTCATAATTGCAGCTGTTATTTTCTTTGTATTAGGCAAATGAATATGTCTCTAAATTTGACAGAATAGAGATCATCAGAAGCAGTTCCTCGCAGGTATTTCAATGCAGCATAAACCAAATCTGTGCATAAATGTACAGTTATAATAAGAGTTGGCTAGAATAAAAAAAAAGATTAACTTCAACCACGTTTTTAGAAAGGTAGCACAGGCTTACGTTTTAAAGGCATTATGAATTGATAATATTTGTCATAAAAAGACAATCGCAAATAGTTGATATCCAGAGAGACATGATTTTATCTTCTCAGCTTCATCATAGGTACAATTTCGTTGATTTGATGACAATTTTCTTATTTCTCTTTATGTTATTTGTGACACAGCTTACGGCCGAGGACGAGACTATTCTGCAAATTCTCACCAACGTGGGATTAAGTTTTTCCATTACCGGAATACTTTTGACAGTTATAGTGTATTCCTTCATCACGTAAGTATCAACCATGCATACGTCTAAAGAACTTATTCTTTATTTGATTTTAAAGATTTTTGACTTAAATTACATCAATACGCGATAAAAAAAAATGAATTAATGGAATTAATGATAAATAATTACGGCAGAAACGAATAATGACAATTAAAATCTGAATCTCTAAGCGACAGTGATTTAAATGCCTTAACTGGAACAGTACCACATGAAATTAGACGCATGCGTTGCCAAATAATGCTTTTTTTTGGTTTTTTGTTTGTTTGTCTTTTTAATTTTTTCTTTTGCTTCGCCAGAGATGTTCGTCAGCCTCTTTCTCAAATACGATTGAGTCTTTCTGTGTCACTCGGAGCTGGTCAAATAATCTTTCTCGCCGGTATAAACGCCACGGAAAACAGGGTAAATGACTTCTTCATCCATTCACGGTATATTTGCTCTTTGGGGGCTTAAGTTATTCCGAAGAAAGGAGGATTGAAAAAGACAAAAATCTCCCTTTTTCTTCTCTTAGGCTTCCTGTGTTACAGCAGCAGTTCTCTCACAGTATTTCCTAATGGCCGCTTTCTGTTGGATGATGGTCGAGGGAGTTTATCTTTATCTGTTTGTTGTGAAAGTTTATAACATTGGCGACAAGATGCACACGTATCACGTCATCTCATGGGGTACTTTCATTTCGCGTAGGAGTTTTTTGTACCTGCCTCTTTTGAATAGCCTCTGTGATTCTGCGTGTGATTCTGCGTGTGATTCTGTGTGTGATTCTGTGTGTGATTCTGTATTGACCCCCTCCTATTTCTGTTCAGGTTTTCCGATCGTCATGGTAGGCATTTCACTGAGCGTTGCGGCTGGAAAAGATGGAATTCAAAGTTATACCAATGATAAATAGTAAGATAATTATTTAGTACTTGTCTCTTCATCTTCTGTGCCTTCCCACTCTCTCGCTTTTCGCTACAAAATATTTGTTGTTTTTTATTCTGTTTCTCTTCTAGATGTTTTGTTACCGGTAAAGGGTGTGGGTTTGGGGTTTTATCGCCGCAAATCTGTGTTTATTTTATGTTCTCCTTTTACCTTTCAAGTTGTTGGCTGTCCTCAACTAACAACCTGATCTGGATATTCGTCGCATTTGTGGCGCTCATTGAAGTTGTGAGTTTTTGAGGCCACTTTATTACTTTTTATTTACCGGGATTGACTACTCTTGAATACTTCTTTTTTTCCCTGCTCCTTAATCCTTAACAAAAAACATGAAAATTCTTCTGTTTTTGACGACCTGGCTCGAAGTTTGCAATCTTCCCAATTACAATTACCTGCATGTTTTTTTCGGCATTTCTCATTGTAGCATTTAGTTCTCCTTACATGAAGATTTAGGGTTCAATTCGCAGAGAGGGATTCAGACTTTTTCTCTCGCTAACGCTTGTAACAAGACGGCTAACATTTTTCCTCTTTTCGACGACACATTTCACATTTCTTTCTTTTTTCTAGCTCAACATATTGATACTCATCCGGCTCCATAGAGAGATGAGCACACTAGTGCAGCCAATGGTGGAAGACAAGCATTTCCAGCAGATACGGTGGGATTTTAAATCAGCATTTTAAAAATTAATACTAATGATCAAAATTTAGGGAAAACAGGATAAAGCAATGTGAGATAATCGTTGTCTCAACTTTTCCTGTGGTATGGACTTTCCTAAATTCCACTCTAGTTAATCTTAAAAGTGAAGGAAAAACGCTTCTATAAATTAGTCCACAAAACTTATATGGCTGTCGTTCTTCAGACTTGCCATGAAAACATGCGTGGTGATGGTGCCACTGCTGGGTGTCACGTGGTTATTTGGTCTTTTGTTACCATTACACAAAGCTTTCGCCTACATTTTCACCCTCTTAAACTCCACTCAGGTAAGCTTTTAACAGAAATTGTTAAATTTTAATCAAAGGTTTGCATCAAACTACACCTCAGGTAAAAATAGACACTAACTAACAGTTGATAAGTTATTTCTCGATTCATGAGATCTACAACGTACTTTGAATCAATATTTTACCCCTCCGTTACGGTGGTTTCAAAGATGAACAAATGATCAGAGCATCATACACCTTGAACTCTATGCAAACTTTGTCAACAAAGACTAGCCCTACCCTACGACTTGTTCAAAACATTAGTATACTGACCAATTATAGTGAAAAAAAAATGATCTTAAAAGAATAATCTGTTTTTAGGGTTTCCTGATTTTCGCCCTTCACTGTATGCGAAACAGCCAGGTGAGACTGAGAATGTACATGATGAAAGCGAACTGTGAAGTTTTTAGGCATAAATTAAACATTTGATTGCTTAACAACAGATATTTGGTTGCCTGTTCATCTACAGATTAGAGAGCGATTCAAGAGGAGGATGAACACCATTTCTCCATATGCAGTCGATGGAAACTTTACAAAGAAGGGCTCACATGTTAAACCTAGGTGATGCCGGAAATGTGTGGACAGTTGAATTGCAGTCTTTTAATAACTGAAGAATAGCACCTAACTTGAGTATAGCAACTCAACCGACTTTTAGCTGTAGCCAATCACATAGTGTGATCGTTAAGGCGAAGGTATATCTTCAATTTAGCTTGTTCAGGATCGAAATGACAGCAAGGTCAGGCCTTCTGTGTCCACTAGTAAGTCAGTATAACAATTTTTTGCTCAAAGTCTAGCATTTTTTGAATGGGAGATATTCTCTTCTAAAAGATAGCTAGAAAAGCTTGAAGCCAACACTGTGGCCCATGTGTGAATAGTTTTGATGCGACTTCGATAACTAACACTAATACCCCATCCACACCAGCAAAACATGTTTTAGCTACACCAGATTTAACTGAACAAAAATACGAATCTGAGAACTGAAAATCTGAATTTTATAAAGGATTCAAGTAGTCAATAACTTGTATTTTCAATGTGTTAAATTTGAAGCCGAAGAACATCTTTTTAAGCAGCTTAAACTGTTTTTAACAAAATAGCATTAAAACATGCTTACCTAAGCGTTGGGTGAATGTGATGTAAGATAATAACAAGGAGTTTGTATTTTAGTAGCTTTTAAGTTGTTTAGTTTCGGCCAAGGTTTTTTTTTTGACAAAACTCACGTTCTCTTAGCGAGTCAAGAAATTCATTGGTTGCCGCTAACATGTGTTTTGAAAAGTTATTCGCTGAAATTTATTGATCGTGATGATAACGCCTTTCCCATTAGATCTAGATTGAAGAGATGAACTTAAAAGTCTGAACAAAATTTAGATTTTGGGTTAGCCTATTCGCCTTTGAACTTGAATTCGCTGAAATTTGTCGATCAATGTTGTCACTTTTACCATTCGATGTAGATTAAAGAGATGAATTTAAAGGTCTGGATAGAATTGAGATATTGGGTCAGCCTATCCACCTTTATATTTACGTAAAACAATGTTTTTTTTCTTTAATGTATTTTCGTGTGCTATGATAGAAGTTGTAAACTTAGTCAAATAGAATGTGAAACAAAATTGGTATCGATCAAGGTAATCAATAAATAACAAGTAGATAAGAAATGTGATGTCGCCCTGTTACATCCTATGGGTAGTTTAGTATAAGTGGGCATTTTCTGTCGTATCCTCAAGAAGAAGTTGGCCGGTACAGTTATCATTCAAAACATCCTGATTATATATTTATCTGCCTTTTTATGGTCTTAAAGGGGAAGGGAGGTGGAAGTTTGTGACCCTCATATACCACGATGGGGTTTACTCCCAAATACACATTTAAGTTGCGAGGTGGTCAACAGCTAGTAAGCTGATATGATCAGCCTGGTTGGATAGCCATAAAGAGGAGTTCACAAACGTGTAGGTCTTACAATAATGAAGAGAGCTTCTAAATACACCCTCCAGGCTCTACATGGACAGGGCTATAAGCCATTGTGAATTTGGGGTCCCCTGGCGTGACTTCGGTGAATAGGCTGGCTAAGAAAACTGTGTTATCTCTTAAGGACTACTTATTTTGCCCGCGAGGGGCAGGGGAATCTCCTTCTCTCCGGGCAGAGGGGACACTAAAAATAGGGGAGCCCCTTCAAGACAACTATTTCACTCTACATGGATAGGGCTTTCAGCCAGGATGCTTTTGGGATTCCCGGAATAGAATACAGGCGAGTGGGCGGGTTAGAAAACTGTGTTGTCAGTTGTGATTTACTTATTCTGCAATGCGAGGGGATACTGGACGCCCCTTCTCTCCGGGTCAAGTGAGGCACCAAAAGTAGAGAGAGTGAGATATCCCAAGACTTTACGTTTGCAGGGAAAGAGATTGACAAATAGTGAGAAGAGTTTTCCGGCTCTGCAAAATTCAGCTAGATCTGCATCATGTATTTCATATAATTTGAAATTCATATTAAAGCCTTTCACACTCTTACGATGACGACGAAGTCTTGGCATGCAAATTACCCACAAGGAACTTCTTTGAATTGATTGTTTTCGTATTTTCAGATGCAGACGCAGGTTGAAGGGGGCGGGTGCAAGAATTTCTAATGGGGGGGGGGGGAGGAGGAGGGAGGGTATTAGCTTGATTCAGAAATCACACTATTTTTCTATACACTACAACCTAAATGGGCCGAGAATTATCCCTCAAGACAAGCAATTATGAATATTTTATATAGAGTAATACATATGATCTTATCATTGCCAGAATTACCGAGTTACACAAGTAGTAAAAAACGCACTTGTTTGTTTTAAACGAGCAAGGGGGGAGGGGTTGGGCTTCAGACCCTCCGAACCCTGCTACATTTGCCACAGCGATGGGAGAGAGCCTTACCAATCAACCAACTTCCTTGTCATGGAAATCGCTTTATTGTCTTATTTGTCGATTTTCTGCACCAACTCAGCTATTTTTATTAGAGTTATACTGATTATAATCTGAAGCAAAATTATACGCATTACAATATAAATAGTAAGATTCGGAGTGTCTCAACTGATCTGTCCTTCTTTTCGAGAAAGAACTTTATTCCTTTCTGCGTCGCTATTGAGGATTGCTTAAAGACGATATGCCGTATTTCTGGTAAGCACTTCACTGATGTCATCTAGAAGGTTTACACCAGATATCCAATAGTGTGGAAGATTTCTTCTCTCCAGACAAATTTGCAGTGCTCTAAGAAATCCAAGGAAATGGTTCCCCAGCGCGTCTCTACTCGCCCAGTTTTGTAGACCTCCTTCCTCTATGTAGTGCAAGAAATGGTTCACTGTTAGGACAACGAGGCTGTAAAACCAACCATCTCGAAGGTGTACAGGGTCGATATTAACTTCACGACTTGCATACTTTCCGAACAACAAGTCATCTCTTGCCTTGAGGCAAACATACCCAGATGTTCCGGATTCAATAACCCCAATCTCTCTCCTTGTCGTTCTCAAAACTACTATGACATCTACTTCATCGGCGGCTTCAGTCTTCAGCCTCTCGTACACACTGCCGGTATACTCCAGTTTTAGTATAGGAATAGACGAGTGCTGTTGGCAAAACAGCGTGAATTGATCTTCGACGCACTTATTCACCAACCGTCTGGTGCGGGCTATGTCCTCCTCAGAAATTTTGACATACTTTACAGAGAAAGCACGAAGTTTCCTCGTTAAATTTGAAAGATCTCCTCTCCTTGCCTCGGCTACTGTGTAGTTATAATTTTCATGATTCCCCTTCCTATGGTTGTGTGCGAATCAGTCAACATATAGCTAAATCAAAAGGTAATATACCGATGGAGGTTTTGCTTTTTCCTAGCTTCTAAAATCAAACTCACTTTGAGCTACACTTTAATCTATCCCTTATCGTCTAATAAATGCAACTCCGTCTGGTAAATAGAATGCAGAAGCGAGCTGTGCGGGCTATCACCAACTCAGACTATCGAGCACACTCCTCTCCTTTATTCTCTAAACTAGAAATATAATACGTTTGAAATCGCCAAATTCATGTTTCATAAAAAAAAGTATCTATTTCCCCCATTGCTTCTTAATCTTTTTGTTACAAATAGCCAAATTCACTGCTATGGTACCAGAACTGCTACGAACGCATTTGTGTCGTGCAAATCTCAAGCAATTAACAATTCTCTACCAAGGTCCTAACTTTGGAACTCTCTTTCTGTTTCAGTCCCTCTTTAGTCAAATCTTCTTAGCTTTAAGACAAAAATCCAAAAGTTTTTACCTATATAAACACTGAGTTGGCCAAGCAGCACATTCGCAGCACCTATTCTTTCTCAAATATATTGTTGTAAGTGATGTGGCTTCTCCCATAACCCGGTGGCTTCTTAGGTCTCGTTGCCTTCCACAAATCATAACGCTGAGGATAATTTTTTTTCGGATTGTTAAAAAGGCATAAAAACAAGAACAAAAATGGGATGATGAAAATTCCTTATTTAGACTACAGCATCCTTATCACTTATCCAAAGGATATCCGTGCATAATAAAATTCGACATTCAATTTAATAAAGTTATTAGCTTGTAGCAGACTCTTTGGCCGATTTCAAGCTTTTCTTCCAAGATAGATTATCACCTAACTATATTCCTAGTTATACTTGTGCTGCTACCGAGTTTGACATCTATGCTATATGTTGCGATCTCAACGATTGAAGTCGAGTTGTCTGCCATTCAACAAATTCACCTACTTGATCTGATAACACCCTATAAGAGCTTTCCCTCAAAAATGGATCTGACATGTGCATTTGAATTACTTCTTTTTAAGACGGTGGTTTTTAAATTCAAGTGAAAGCCGTTCTTTAATTAACGTAAACGATTTTATCAAACTAAATCAGGATTTATCCTTGCTCTTGTTTATTTTTGAGGAGCCCTTGCCACTGTGAAATTCACAAAAACATATAGAAAAAAAGGGGGTTTCGAATCAAGGTGCCAAGATTGAATCTGACCTCCATAAGACAATGAAATAAAATGATAGAACTCCAGACATGCGGCTAAACAGGCCACGAAGTCGGCGCGAACATTTTCGGTAAAACGTGCTTGAGATGAAATTCCAAGCATTGAAGAGAGATAGCTAATGACTTATCTTACTTTTTAAGGATTTTAAAGTCGATGAAGTGAAACTGTGGAGAAGAAAACCGCTAGATAGGAAAATGACTCGTGACTTGCTTCCAACCCCTACAGCTCGATGGCTATGTAACCGCTTAATTTTACCTTTCAGCACTTCCGGGTTTCCTTGGAAAGTTTAATGATTCGATTAATTCACAGGAACTGCACCTTTTGCCTTTCAACGGATTGACAACGAACGATGTTGACAAAGAATGATATTGATCTTCATCATTGATTTGCAAACAATATGTGATTAATACGGTAGCCGGTAAGAACAAAACAGAATGACAAAATCCGCAACACGAACACAAAACTCTGTAACACCAACACAAACTTAAAACAGAATCACAAGATTCGTAACACTAACACAAAACTCACGAACACAAACTTAATTGAGTTTGTGTTTGTGTCTTGAATG